TCGGGGTCTTGTTTGAACGATTGGCATCTGTTCAGAGGTACGCTCGGCGGATCAGCCTACCGAAAGGCATCCACCACGGAGGAGAAGGGTTAAGCCCTTTACTCGGAATGAGGAGTCCGGGCCATCGACGGTAACGATGGATACTACGTCGGGATGCGAGGCAGCGGGGTCACTGGAAATATCCCCGCCACAGCGGAAGGCGCGTTTGGGGTCGCGTTTGGTAATTAGTGACACCATTGAGGAAGCGGCTGTTCACCCCGCAAAGTTGGGCGTGGGTGAAGTAGGTCTCGAGCGCGGTGGTGATGCAGCACTACTAATGACGGTTATTACCGAGAATGGCCATCTTAAGGCGATTGCACCGGTGACGCGGAAGCCTGTAGAGACCTGGTCGTTTGTAGTCAGGAGCAAAGAACTTGAAACTTCCTCTAAGAAAGTCATTAAAAAAGTAGTGAAAGAGGTGGGTTCTTTACTAGGTTTGAGGACCTACGAGATTAGGCCTATTAAGGATGGTGGAGCGGATATCCGCACTCACTCTATTTTGGAGAGGGAGAGAGTGGCGACTAACGCAAAATTCGGGAAGGTGGGGTCGAACTTGACTGTCAACCGAAAGTTGGGCCCTCGAGTTGTGGTCCAGGAGGTTCACGTGGAGATTTCCTATGAAGAATTCAGGGAAAGGGAGGGATATCTAAGGAGCGAGATGCTTCTAGATAATAGGGATAATAGTGGGACAATAGCCCTAACAGTCTGGTGACTTATGAGTACATCCAGGGCGTTGGGTTTGTTGAGGGTAACCCAGACTTCAGATTTTGGTTGAGTCTGCGTTTTATGCTTACGGGGCATGGGCCTCTGATTGTATTTTTGCATCAAAGGCACCTATCTGGTAGGTCGGGGTATTTGTGTAGGGAGCGGTGTGAGGATTAGGCTCACGTGATCGCAGAGTGCCCTATGTACTCGGCCATTAGGGATCTCGGATGTATAGGGATTAGCTGGACTGACGGACGTTAAGATGTTAACGGTATGATCTCCATTAGTCGGAATGCCGAACAGTCAGGGCCCTTTCTCGTGAATTGCTTNGGGGGCGAAGGCGTTTAACTGAGAATTACAACTGGTAATAGCTTCGACTACGCTGTCTGACCGGAGACTTAATTCTGGTACCCCTGGGAGCAGGGGCCTGGGAGTTCGCTCCAAACTTGCTAATGCGGGCTGCAGGCGGAAAGAACTGACTTTTTGTCAGTTTAATGTGGAGTTAAATTGCAACGAGGTGCCGGACCCAAAACACGACAAAGGTTTTAAATAGGCATCGAACCCTACCAAAGTGGTTAGTGTGTCCATTCCACACTACCGATCGGTATTAAAAATGATTGGCGTTTTCAGGGCGCTGATCAACTCATTGATTTGATCCGCTGTGCTTTTGAGCGCCGCGGGGTAAGGCTGTCATCAGCAGGTACCCACGTTAAACACATCAGATGTTGTACGTGAGTGTATGTCACTAACCTCCTCTTAAACAGCTGGACCGATATGAATGAATATTTTTGTATGCGTTTGGGTGCCGCCCTGGATGAATTATATTCACAAATCAGCGCGGCGAATGCCGCTATGGAGATAATTTATCTATACTGCAACTAAACGGCTGGATCGACTTGAATGAATTTTTGTTTATACTTTTTTGTACACTGTGTGCTGATATTATATCTAATGCTTTTACGTAAATATTGCGCGTATTATATTCAGATATAAGTTACGTGATTTCGTTTATTTTTCGACATTTTAATTTGAGTATTTTATATTAAGTGTTTCGTTATTTTGACATTCTAACCTTTTTTGTACGGTGTCTTTCGATATTTCAGATGTCGCATTACATTTCGATGTATTATATGAGTGTATTATATTCACATATAAATTACGTATATAAAGCAATGCCACGTATTTGTAGCCGAAGACGAAATATTGGTAGACAGATGGACCGTCGGTTAAATAGATCGGCAGAAGATCGGTTGACGGTCAATGAGAATTTTACAGACCAGGCTGCAATCACACGTGCTAATGAAAGTCAAGAGCAAAGCAACGAACGTCTTCAAGTTAATGCATTGAGACAAAAACTGGACCGTCACAAAGTCTTCGACACAGTCAGAACATAAGTGCAAGTGTATCGCGAGTTAAGGAACGTATTAGTTATCAGATTATATCACCAAAATACCCTAAACAAATAAACATCAAAACAACCTTATGTTTCAGTAAACAAAATATATCAAAACAACCTCATCTCCGAATGAACAGAATGTATCAAAACAACATTAAACCAAAAACATTAAAGCAATCTTTCCTTAGAAGAAACGAAATGTATCTAAACAAACAATATTTTATATGTAAACAATCTATCAACTAGTAGTTGAGACACTTGTTAGTATAAATAGCAGTAAGATCTATGTAACAAGTAAGTCTTAAGAATATTAATAAAGAGTGCACATTTCGGTGCAGCTCAGAAGTGAAAATATCGTTTTTCGCCTTGCGTTTGAATATGAGTCGGACATTAACTATTCGTACCATTCACAAAATCGATGATATGAACAAACAATGCCACCACTGTTTTGCATTCAAATACAAAGGTAAATTAGCCGGTTTATGCTGCGCGTCTGGAAAAGTTATGTATAGCTGCTGCTGACAAACGGATTTTAAGATTTTTGCATTTAAAGTTAAAAAAATAAACAATTTAAAGCATTTTTTCGATTTATAATAAATTTTACATTTATGTTTTGTACTTTAATATCTGATAACACTATACGAATTTGTTTCTACACACTTATTTCGTATTAAAAAATGCACTGCGTTAAATCATAACTAAAGTGATAAATTTTTGATCGACCAGGGTTAATTATTCGTGCGTGGCCGAAGACCAACTATGCAGAATGGAACTATAATAATGTGGTGTGGACCTGAATGCTTACGGCTGATTCTACCGAAAATATCGGGCAATCTGTGATATATAACTATGAAACTTAGTGAAGGTCTTTTCCTGGAAATAATTTGTCTTGGTGTTAAAAATAGGTAAAATCGGGTACTATGCTTCCCATGAACGTCATATACTTGATATACGAATTTTCAAAGTTCCGCTTGACTTCGAAGCATATGCATACATATATCGGGCAATAAGTGAGTTATCATCATAAAATTTAATGTCACTTCTTACTTGTTTAGTATAAAGTTTTGACAACATCTGAAAGTATTTCACCGGCTTTGATCGTTGCAAATTATGAGGTATTTTAATTTTGAAAATAACATCTCGTCACTTCAAGTCAACATTTTCTGAAATATGTTTTGATATTTCAGCTATAGATTTAGAAACTTTTTGTTGCCGATGTTTTTATGCTTATTAGAGCATCTAACACACGTTGTTTATCACAATAGTTTCGTGTTTAACCGGTTCAATAGATATAATTGAATATAGAATAGTTTTGATCTTGCAAATCTCTTTTATATTCTCCATAATATCGAACGTTATCAAAAAAGTCGCGGGGAGTGTTGGTTTTTCAATACCAGGATATATAAAAAAACTTGCCGACCTGACAGACGCTGCTCTGTACATTTTTTGCGTATATTTCAACATTTTTTGTATAAACCGCGTAGAATTTGAAACTCTATAAAAGGTTTTTGTTTTCTTTATTTACAAAAGGCTTTATTTACTTTATCACCTCAATGAAACTCAGAAGCATCTTTTGCTTTTAAGATAGCTAAGCTAAGATTTTCAAACTTCCTGTTGACTTTATACCGTATATATTGGTCAATATGTAAGATATCTTAGCAAAGGTACTATATTATAAGTTTTAGTTATATTGGTTCATGAATTATCCAAACACCTATATACTACATATAATGATTTTCGTTATTTTAACAAACCCTATGCCGAATATATCGGTCAGTGTTGAGTTATTTATTTATAAAATTGCTTGAAAATGTGTTCTTGAGCAATGACCCAATATACCCTATACTGTGATTTCCGTTTTTCTACCTGACTTTAAACCATTTAGGTTGGTAAAAATGTGAGATAGTTTGATGAAATTAAATGGGCAAACTTTTTTTTTTTAATTATGTGGCTTAGCGCAGAATATGAATGAAACTAGTCTAGACCTTGGTCCAAACCTTATACCCTAATATTCAATTCCGATCTTCTGGCTGACGTTTTACACATCAACTCAATGTATTAAATTTAGCCCCTTTGGTAGATTATATGTCATATAGGTTATCTTATTTGAGGATTATTTTAATATAATTATACAGAATCAAAATATAGCAATAAAATTAAGTGAGTCTCTCTACCATATTATATAAGTTATTAAGATAAACTTTTGATTGTAATCCATTGAAGATTTCCTCGAACAATGAATCTTAAATTCTTTCGCAACATCTTTTATTTTAAAGTTTTGCAAACACTTGAAGTCCCTGGCTTTCATCCTGCAAATTGCAAAAGTATAAAATGTTCGGTTACACACGATTTTAGCGCTACCTTTTTTGTTTGTTGAGACAATAATCACAAGTGATTTCTTTATATTTCTAAGTTAGGGCCCGAATTCAAACTATACGTTTATAAATACTAAAGGCCAAAGACAACACAACGCATCGTCAAAAAATTCGAAATTGAATCTTTCATTGATTACGATTTACCACACCACATAACATATGTTTGTAATTGTATGAAATTTTAATGTAATTCTGCTATCAAATAAAATATACATGTATGTACTTTTTACTAAGATATATGCTCAATTTCAAACGTCGAATACTTTTATTCCTATTTTGGATGAGAAATCACATTACTAATGATTTATACTTATTTTATAACAAAAATAAAAAAATCTTTTATCTTAATATTCATATATATTCAAGTCATACATTCATACACCCAAAATAATTTACGACATAAAGTTTATGAGTATACATAAGTTTTATGAACTTCCGAATGACCAATCAGAAAAATATTCGAAAGACGGAATTCTTATTCATACCTTCTTCAATTTTTTTCCTATAAACAAACATCTCCTGCCGTAGATCCAAGTGCATCCAGTAAAGTAGTCCTATTATTACTGCAATTGCAATGAGCACTAGCAAAGGTTTGCAAATCAAATATTTACGATTGTGACAACGGTTTGTGCAGATGCTATGAGTATTTTTTGGCTAAAACTCAACACATTTTTATAAACTTCTTTTTTTTATGATTATAACTTACTCTGTTCATATGTACGCAAGTATAATCGTCTGCATCATCGGTGGACGCAGATAGTAATTTTTCCTGTGAGTTAATGTTTAACATAGTTCGCCGAATGGACCTTTTTTTCCCGAAGGAATGAGCAATAAGAGCGTCAAGTTCCCGCCGCTTTCGTATTTTTTTGCCTCCTGTGCGAAGTGGGACGCTGATCTGATGACTTGAGTCCATCTCAGAATATCTGAATATTGTTTATTGTTTATAAATAAATTTGTATGATCTATGGCACTATTTGAAAACATTTCTATTGCTTAAGAACCAATTACAAACATTATTATGTTTACATACAGTATTCCACTAGTATTGATTTTTCCTATGTAGCTTGTTTCCATACTAAGCAATATCTTGCGCATGCCCCCATAAATTCTAAATTTTTCTGACATTTGTTAGGTTACAGTAAAAGTTTTGTACATATAAGTAATACAATAATTCAATTATATAAAGTTGGGTCGATAGCCCAAAAACAACAAATTTCCAAAAGTGTTTTAACTCATAATGTCAAAATCAGCCGTTTTGTTTTTTATTTTTAATACAAATTAAATTTTTAAAAAACTTAAGCCGATGAAAATGTATTTTGAGCGATAACTGTATACAAATAGATTGTAAGTCACAGAAAATTATACAAATGTAAACAACAAATTCGCATTGATCGCACCTTGGCTATAGAGGGACACCTATCAAACTCGTCTCAAGGGAAGCGCCCACATCGTTGAACACGTACATCAACACTCCCTCAACGCATATAAAGCAAAACCTTCACATAAGAGATATTTTCGTGTTCGAATTCATCTTTTCCAATATGTTCAAATAACACAACTGTTCTATAACACTTGTTGCAGAGTTGTGTCGAACTTTATTTTGCCATCTTCTATTCAGTTCTCATTGTCACCACAGCTAAGGTTCGCGACGCTTCTGTGAATTTTCTCTTGATTGCGCTTTGCTTTATTAGAGAGGTGAATTTTAACTTGAACCGATGAGTTTTTGCAGAAATTGATGTTGAGAACCGGAGATACTTGTAGATATATTTTCTTGGAGCATTCCGTTAAGTATTATACTCACTGATGATTAATTCATCAAATCAAAAACATGTTTTAGAAACGGAGTTTCTATAGTTTACTTTTTATAATAAAAATTAAACTCGGTAAATTAATTTACATGGGTGGTTGGTTTCGGAACAGTATCGAGCAAACTCTTAGCACTTAATATCAAATGCTTGTTTGCCTGTGAGAAGCTACATAGCAGCGACAAATTATATAATGACACCGTAACTCGCAGTACTAATGGCCGGGATGATCGTCATTCAAGGACGATCATCCATAGCATGGTTCCAATTAAGTAACACAGTATACTCTCTCCTTGTAGCTTCTGCTGACATGTTTTCGCAGAAATCATCTTCGCAGTAATCTGCTTGGGCCGAAGCCGCCTTACCGGCCAGACTACCGTCACAAAAACAACAGCAATTGCGTTTCTACCATACTTTTGCTCTGCAGATTGCTGGCGTTTTTTAACAATACTGTTTCTTTGCATTGTATTTTTTAAATATGTAAATAAATTTATCCTATAGTAAAATATTATATTTGTATTATTTTTCTTAGGTTGAAACCAAATATTGTTAGACACACTCAAGAACACATTATCTGTGAAAGCTCGGACATAAATGCTAGAGATGAGTCACTTATTAATTTCGTTGGTAGCGAGGAAATATTTATTTTTAAGAGGGAAAACTCCCACAATTATGTAACTGCAAGCAGATAAGAAGTCGTTGACCTCACCTTACCATCAAAGGAAACATTTCGTTATCCTGAATATAATGAACGGTATATTCACCTTAGGAACACGGATTGAGACCTTTATTGTAGGAAACTCCGATCAGCTAACAAGCAGTTGTGGTGGCATATTAATACATTTATTTAATAAAAACATTAATGGAAAATGGGTATAAAGAACTATTTTAATTATAATTTTAAAATCAGAATTTTAATCCATAGAAAGGTGAAAAATTTGTTGAACTCGTGGAGTAAAATCTCGAAACTGGACGAGACAAGATAAAATTTGAAACATTAAAATAAAATTAAGAGACCGTGGGAAGTGTTTCGAACATAGAAGAGTCGATATAATCTACTACTCCTAGGAATATTCATTTTGAGTAAAATTAAATTTTGAAAGCCTTTTGCTCCTCTCAGTCATTGGTGTTTTATCCACATCGCACAAATATGTTGTTCATAATATTTAAAAGAAGGTTTTGTAACAACCATAGATATTGCAAGTTGCTTCAGCTCAAAGTTAAAATCAATAAAAATGTATTCTTCATAACTACAAGCAGCAAGGAAATGGTGTTTGTGGTGACGTTCATTCATCTCATTTAGTAAAAATAAAAAAAAATGATTCCTCATTTAAGCCAAATGAATGTGCAATAAACACTATTTAAAAGTCATTTGATTGTCTATAAAACTTTGGCTTACATGGTGTTAGGAAGTTCGAAGGGATTTGAGTGATCACAAAGCCTTTTTATTATGCGCAGCACATCAGTTTTGGCTCCAACATTTTTGTCATTGTAATATAAATCAAAACTAATGTCCATTTTAATAACTATTAACCTTTTTGTGAGCATTAGCTAAATTAAATTGTTTTGACTTTTCGTTTAAAGTTTAATTTTTTGTCAAATCTCATTTATTGTGTTGATAACACCAATCAAACTACAACCGAGTGGAGTTAAAACCGTAATAGGGGTATAAATAAAGCCACATTCTGGTGGCTTGAAGACTGGCATACCCAAAATTGTTGTAAAAATTTGTGAGTGATATTCCCTTGGAATGGAAAAATTGGATGTTAACTTACTCAAACAATTTCAATTTATGGCCATACAAAAGAATTTCTGGAATTTTCACATTGTTTTTAAGTGTGACTGCCCCTTGTGACCGTGGTCTTTAACAGTGTATGCTGGTACAATTATGATAAAATTTGCCAAACCAGTATTCAATCGTTAGCTGGAACCGATTCGTCTTAACACTTAGCTATGGCTTTGCATGGACAGTGTATTTTGCCATCAGAATACTAAATCCACTTTTTTCATTTAAAAAAAAACAAGCAGAGATGGCGTCGATTAGCACAATAAATTGAGAACTTTTGAATGAAATCACATGTAACTTTTTTCGTTATAAATATAATTTGTTTTTAAAACATACATTTTTGAAACGAACGTTGGAATAATTTAGTTATTTAGTTTTTTTTATTGATTACGGTTCATTACATTTATATACACATACCAAGTTTTAAGCGGATGCTATCAAATACAACCACGTTATAACCAAAATAAAATTTTTTGATATCGGTTTTTCCTTCTCCTGTAAACTTATGAAAAGTGTTGTTACGTTAATTTGCATTTTTCGAACATTAAATTACGTTAACTTGTTATTGCTTTAAATTCGTCAAGGAAGACAAGAACCATTAAAGTAAAGAATTTAAAATATTACAATAAATTTCATTACAACCAATTACTCCTGGAATTCAAATTGTATCTACAAAATGTAATTCCTCAACTCAAGCAATGGGTGCTTTCGAGCTACGTAATAATTACTGCAGTACAGCACCTATCTTGCATATTTCCTGATACTCGCTGACGTGCAGACAAATATTTAGTGTTGGCGATTATTTACATAAATTGCGTGCAAAAAGAGAGAGTAGAACGTGTTGTTGCAAGTGTTGCCAAAAATTCCCGCAGAACGTGTTACTTTGACAAATTTGCAACACTGCCATCTCGACCGCACCCTATCTTACATATTGACCGATATATACAGTATAAAACCAACTAAATTTTATTATAGTTATGTTATATAGATATATACGTTAAACTTATTAGGGGGCAGTGCCAAGCCCACTTTTAAAAAATTTACAAGCCACAGGGGTCGCTCACTAATACGATTCTTTGTGTGAAAATTCATTTTTGTATCTTAATTATCATGGATGTTGTGAAATCCAAGTCGATTCTGATTTTCAGTNGCGGTTTATCACGAATATGAAATGAAATTGGTCTGTACCTGGGCTGTCCTCAAACAATATAGCAGAGTTTCTGATCTTGTGGTATTGACGTTTTCACATCAACCATATAAATTTAATCTCTTGACTGAGCTATGTTATCATAGTGATTATTGGCGATGATTTTATTATAATTTCGCGAAACGATTAAAATATATTAATGTTCTGTTCAGAGTGGCATGACACCCTACTATGTTGAGGCAAGATACCCACCGATTGTTATGCATTCACGACTTGATAGATACCTACTTTGATTATTATCCATTCACAATACACGATTCTGTCAACAATGAATGCATCTTCATCATTTTAATATAAAGACTTGCCAACACCTATGTTATTTCTGCCGACCTCGTTCTGCAAATTGCAAGAGTATAAACTGTTCGGTTACACCCGAACCAAGCCCTTACTTGTTTAATCATGCGCATGATTGAATAAAATCGAGGTTAGCTTACTGCGATGAATTTTCCACTATAGCACATTTTTATGCGTTATATTTCGTTGATGTACTAATTTGTATTTTATTTTACAGTTGTCAATGAACAAAGATTACCCGATATTCTTCAGAATGGCATAGTGATCACGATTGAGTAAAATCAACCATAATCAATATCCGGTTGAATGAAATGAACGTACAACAGAAAACTACGATTGAATTTGACCAGCAAATATAGTAATCTAGAAGGTCACAAAATTTTGCTAAAGAAGAAAATATACGCATTTGGAGTGAAAATCGAAGTAGTACAACTATTGGCGGTGAAAGTTTTGAAGATTATTATTCTGGAGGTCTAATAAGCAACAGAGATGCAACCGTCTTCCAATGACTTAGTGGGTATAACTACATGGAAGAACAAGTGTTTAGTGGGTATTAATTATAATTGTCTGAAGTGAATATTTTACACTAACAGTATATATTTATTTTGATCCGGCGAATAATAATAAGTGTACTGGTATTGGAACATTAAAAGCCTCAAGAACAATACAGACACAAACATATCTTCGTTCTACTGTTCATAATACAGTTTTTAGAAGATCACTGAATTGAACCATACCCAGTGGTAATTTGTAGTGATAAATATTCTTTAACTAAAGCGGGTGAAGAGTGCTTTACTAAACTTCTCCCCATTATTATACCTATGTAAAATAATGCCCCATTATAAAAAGAATTGAGATAACATTTGAACAAGAATAAACTGAAATGGTAGCTCTTGAATCAGATTGCGTCCCAAATGCGGTAAATTGCTTATTCACATCCATTATTAAAATGGTGACATCGTACTGAACAAATTTGGCTTCTGAAAACGAGGTGGGATCTCCTTGAATCTTTTCAAGAGCCTGCTGGGCAGAGCTGGCGCGATGTCGCTTCTTTGGAGGCCGAGCGGTTTCAGTTCTGGTAGACAAACTGTATTTTGTACGCTTTCAATTTAAGATCCTGACGTTGACGCCGTCATCCGCATATTGCGTCAGTCCGAGAAGCTGGGAACGGCGGCATCGAATCACTGCCACACCGTTCGCCAGTACACCTCAGCGTGCTACAACTAAATTTTCACTGAATAATATGTAATAACAGAATGCCAAGTCCGCTGGATAGGTGATGGTGTTGCGAATAGTACGAAGTAGGCTGAGGATTATGTTGATCCGATGAGCTGGCTCTCTTGGCAGAACATGAACGTTTCTGCAGTACTCGAGATCCAATTAATCGCTATGAAAGTCTTAAACACAACTTGTTAACCTTACCCAATTTGAATTGAATTTTTCGAAATCATACACTTTAAAATGTTTATAGCAAATTCTTTTAATTTGAAGTAACCTCTTTGTCGCAAAAGAAAACATAAAGCTTTTTACATCT